AGCCGTGCAGTGGGGAGGGGGCTGCTTGGTGCTGTCGAGGCCGGGACTGTTTGTTTTTCTTGTGAATTTTCCCAAAACTTTGTGCGTCACAAGGTTTCAGCCCCAGAGGAGCCCCAGCCCCCAGTGGTGACAGCTCTTCCGTTGAGCGAGAACCAGGCGAGTCGGGTGAGCACCGTGGGTCGGAGGCACGAGGGGTCTGTGGGGGCTGCAGTGAGTGTGGGGCTGGGGAAGGGCTGCTGGGCAGTGGGGCCAGTGGGGCTGGGGAAGGGCTGCTGGGCAATGGGGCCAGTGGCCCCGGCCTCGTACCAGCCAGCCTCACCCGCGCCCGAGAGCAACTCCCCGGCGGGCTCCGTGCTGGGGTTCATCCTGTGCAGTAACAGGTGTGAGCATCCATGCAGCGTTTTGATGGTCATGTATGATACTGCATACAACAGGCTCCTGGGGAAAACCAGCTTTTTAGATGAGTTTCTATAATGTGTGCTGAATCTTCTTTCGAAAATCCTCTCAGCAAAATTAAACTGATGTTGCCCTTCCTTTGCAGGCAGGTTTTACCGGAAAGCAAAACTTAGATATGTATTTTTCTTTCCCCTTGATTTGTTACTGGTATTGAATTACAAAACTTTGTTCGCCACGTAGTAGGGAATACTGATAAGGGGTGTGATAAAGTGATTTTTTTTAACTTGAGTAAATTGTACGGCTTTGTTGGAAGCTGTGTACTCAGCTCTCTTGTTACATCTGTGATTTTTTTGTTGCTGTTTGGTTTTTCACCTGTGGCTGGGGAGTTCAGCTGGGGACACAGCTCAGGCAGCACGTGCTCTCGCAAGCACGGGATGGGGTGGGAAAGGCCTGTGCTGTGAACCTGGCACCAAAGTGACCCTGGCTTCTGACAAAAGAAGAAAAAAAAAAAGGAAAAGCACTTTTGCTGTTTGTTGTTGTTGTTGTTGGTTGGGTGATCTCACAGCGAGGTCACCCCAGATGGTTGCTCCGGTACCAAGTGAGGAGCTGTCAGACAGTGGGAGGAAGAAGGTGCTCCTTAAATCCAGCTCTGCTTTCACTGTGTTCTGTGTGTGGCTGCAGCTGATCTGCTGGCGACCAGCAAGATCTCCCAGTGTAGTTTGGGATAAAATGAATGGATATTTCCTTGCTGCTGAAGCAGGAGAGCCTCCCTGTCCTAACAAAATGCTTCCTTTGCTCACCTTGACCTGGCACTGGGGTTGGTCGGGCCCGTATGTGAGCAGATTTAACCCAACAAAGCAGCAAAACCAACATAATCTCTGGGCTGTGTGTTACGGCATTTCAGCAGGAAGGCAGTCATGTTCCCAGGGCTGGTATGACCAGGCGTGTGCTTGGATTGATCTGGCTCATCTGATTATTTTCCTATGACACCACAGGCTCGAGAGTAGCTGCAACCCCAGCTGGAAAGGAGATGGTGCCACTAGTCTGCTGTTGGAAGTTTTCAGGGTAGCAGTGGGGATTTTAAAGAGAGCTGGGGTAGGATGCTGCTTGTCTTAGATGCTTCAGTTGATGCTGATCCGGAGAAGATGGCTCTGTGTAGGACAGTGGTCTCAAGCTTTAGCTTTAGCTGGATTTCTGGCTAACACTCTGCCCAGGTCTCCTGCACTGAGCAAAGCTCTGGACCGTTCACCAAATGCAGTCACAAGCTTTGAATTTGCAACCAATTCTCCCTTTCTGTTTTGTCTCCTGATGTTGAGCTGCCTTGGGCAGAGCTGTCTGACAGTCTCAGGCTGCAGTTAGAAGACATTTCTCTTGTGTACTGCTGCAGGCTGACATCTTTCATCAGTTTGTGATTTGAACAAGCATTTCCTTTTCCTTTCACTAACATTGCTCTTCCCTGGGTGACAAAGTGGTAGTTTTGGCCACTTGAGCTGTCAGAATAAAGCATATAGAGCCCTAGTCAGGGTGATTACAAATATCCTGATCTTAGTTGCACCTGGAAAGTGGGCTGTATTTACGCTTGAAGTCCAAAATTTATAAACTTTTCTATACGTAAAACTTGTCAGGTTTCTAATAAAGGAGGGAAAAGTTGGATATAAGTCAGAAAAGTATCTTCTAAGCTTGAACAATTTCAATTTTAAAAACAAAGTGATTTGTCCGACCGAGGATTTTCCTGTTAGCTAACTTTTAAACGATAAAGCATTAATAAATAAAGATAAAGTTTAATTAATATGCAACCTACCCGTTTGCAGGAGGGCCTTGGCTCACGAGCTGTTTGTGACAGCCTCGTAGGGTCTGACTGCCTGGCGCACGCTGAGCAGCTCTGATGTCTGTGCCCAGCGTTCCCCGCAGTGCTTGCTCCGACTGAACGTCCTGGTCATTTCTTTTCAGGTGGCTGGACCAGAAGATCGTTCTGCAGGATGGTGAGAGCACTGCCCGTGCAGTTTGGTTATACCTGTGCAGTTTGGTTATACCTGTGTGGTCTTTTTAGATTATAGAATGTAGTTTTGCCTAACTGGATGGTAAACGTGAATAAAATCTGCTTCAAAGTTGACTTTCATCCTTTCTTCATATTTGATACTTGTGATTGTGCATAGAGAAAGATTTTTAACATACTGCAAGTGTGCATAAAGGCAAGTAAAGGCAGTGGTAAACGTGAATAAAATCCGTTTCAAAGTTTACTTTCGTCCTTTCTTCGTATTTGATACTTGTGATTGTGCATGGAGAAGGTAGATTTTTAACATGCTGCAAGTGTGCATAAAGGCAAGTAAAGGCATGTAAAGCTACTTCTGCACTGACACTCGTGGCTTGTCCCCAGGGCAGTCACCCGCTGGAGATGAGCAGTGCTCTGCAGGGATAACTCAGTCTTGACTTCAGCAGCAGTGAAGGATCTGAGAGCATCTCCTCGCTGTGCCAGGCTCCCGTCTCCACTAGAGGGTGTGAAGCTCCTGCCGAATGGTTGAATTTCACCGAAACCGGAAAACGGGGGAGACTTTCTTCCATTAATGGGCTCGGCGGGCAGTGAGGCCGCAGCGGGATTACATTCCCATTGAAGCTCCCCGCTCTGCGCCTTGGCAGCAGCCCAGGCTGCTTGTGCGTTACACAACCCTCAGCTGGGCTGGCCCTGAGTCCATGTGATGGTGCTCAGCCCTGGCCAGCAGAATTACTGGTGAGCAACGTGCGTGTGTGTGCCTGGGGGAACCACCTCTGCTGTGGGTCTGGAAGTGCCCACCTCCAGCACAAGGACCTGGAAGAGGTCGCTCAGAGGGTTGACTTGCACACGCCAAGTTCCCTTTCTTTCCAGCTGGGTAGTAAAATGTGCCTGTGATAACAAAGTAGTAACTTTTCACTCGCAGTGTGGAGAGCCTGGCTCCTAGACTGCCTTTCACGGGCAGAGGGAATTTCCACTCCATCTGGGACAGTCCCAAGCCAAGCCTGAGGCCAATGGGATGCAAAATCTGGTGAACCCGTGCTCCTTGCTTGGTTGTGTGAGTTCCCTGGGCTTTGAGCTCATAGGATGTGCTGCAGAAGCCTTTCAGCTCACAGTGGCTGTGCTGGCTCCTTGTCTGAATACAGGATTTCTTCCTGTCTAAATTTTGCCTTTTAAGAGTCATGTTATGAACGAATTCCTGAGCAGAACCTGGCTTTGCCCCAGCGCTCGCAGTGCTTGAGGAGTCCCTAAAGAAGAGATGGGCATCTTCACGAGTCATCTATCTTCATCTATCACTGCAACCTGAGGTGCTGAGGAGCACATGTTCCTCTCACGCTGCTGGTACCAGGAAGGGTCCAAGGAGCTTGATCTTTCCATCTGAGAGGGGAACACTTGTTGGCTGAAGGATGGTGTGTGCCAGTTGCTGCTCCTCCTGCAGCTGGCTGTGTGTCAGGATGAAGAACCATGGGGAGGCAGCCGGAATGGGGTGGTGCTTGTGGGGCTGAGGAGTGTGAGTGGGGAGGGTGGAAAGGGCAGAGGGTGCAACGGTTTTTCTGCCTTTGTTTTGTTTTCAAGGAAATTTCACATCTTTGTGATGTGAAATTTGACCACAGGGTCACTTTGACCCTGTGGCTTCTGCAAAAATAGTGTCAACGTTCTCTGTGAAGGTTTTAATTCCGAATGGGTGAGTAAGGAGCTGGTCATCCTTTGCCTTTTAAAAAAAACCATACGTTTTTCCCCCAGCTTCTCCTGGGGGATGCTGTGTCTTGATACGGTCACATGCACATGAGTGCCAAGCGTGGTCCCCAGCCTCTGGCACCTCTCCTGGGGTCTTGCTGTGAAAAGAGTCCAGGAGCTGAAGCCATTATTTGCACTAGAAGGGCCGTTGCAGAAAAAGCCTCCTTGGGCTGGTGGGGACAGGCAGGACGCAGCCTCGGCTGGCTCGGTGTGCTGAGGTCTCTGCTTAACCGACACGCAGAGTGGATTAGAGATTGTCAACAGCCTTCATTTGAGGAAAGCCCAACCCAGCTGGGAGAAGTGGGTCAGTTGGATATTTGGGGCTGTGTAACTTGCAAATCATGCTTAAGGATCTTATTTGTTTAGCAGCTGGAGTGACTCAAATCGCGTTGTAGAAGTGGCCTGTGCCTGTCTGGAGCAGGGTGATGCATCCCCTGTCCCTGCTTGCCTTCTCCAGAGCCTCTCATGGCCCTGGGATGATGGGTGCACCCTGGTTTGCTCCTCAGTTGCCCATTTGGTTTTCCTATAACTGTCTGCATCCCACCACCTGCCCTTTCTGACATGCAGCTGATTTCTTTTCCCCGGCAGGAAAGTGCCCCAGCTCATGGCAGGGCTGTGATACCATCACTGTACATGAGGGTCACCCATGGCACGGCAACAGCCATGGGCTTTTCCACCTATTTGGATGCCAGACTTATTTGGGAGAAGTCAAACTTCGGGTCAGGACTCTTGGACCAGGATGCAAATTCTCTGCAATAACTTTATTTCTTCTGTAAGAGGAAAAAAAAAATAATTAAATTAAAAAACCCCTTTCACTGGCGAGCTCTGGTTGCAGGTGCAGTAAAAGCAGTCAGTGCCCTCTCTGCTGTGCTGGCAGACACCAGTGACAGCAGATAGTGCCACACACACAGCTCTGCCACCCGCCACCACGGCCTGATAAGGAGTTTTTGTGCTTGATAAAGTCTGTATAACCTGCTGGGGCAGAGCAGCCGCGTTTGTCTTCTTGTCGGACTAATCAGGAACTGCTAAATGGAAAAAGAGGAAAATCAGGCTGGCAGGAGGCAGTGGGGGCTGTCGGGCTTTTCTCTCAGTAAAACTGAGTACAAGGCTGATGGCTTTTGCCTGGCTGGAGCAGGCACTGCAGCTCCTCGGGGCTTTCCAAACGCTGCCGTTGGAAATGTCTTTGGAACCAGAGGCCCAGGAAGGACATGGGCCTGGTGGAACGGGTCCATCGGAGGGCCACAAGGATGATCAGAGGGATGGAGCACCTCTCCTATGAAGACAGGCTGAGAGAGCTGGGGTTGTTCAGCCTGGAGAAGAGAAGGCGCCAGGGAGAGAGCAGCCTTCCAATATCTGAAGGGAGACTTTGTCAGGAAGTGTAGTGGCAGGACAAGGGGTAATGGTTTTAAACTGGAAGAGGGGAGATTTAGATTAGATATTAGAAAGAAATTCTTTACTGTGAGGGTGGTGAGACCCTGGCCCAGGCTGCCCAGAGAAGCTGTGGCTGCCCCATCCCTGGAGGGGTTCAAGGCCAGGCTGGATGGAGCTTTGAGCAACCTGGTCTGGTGGGAGGTGTCCCTGCCCAGGGCAGGGGGTGGCACTGGATGATCTTTAAGGTCCCTTCCAACTCTGACCATTCTATGATTCTGTGGCAATCAAAGGGCAAAGTGTTCCCTCCTCCCCAGCCAGCACAGGGCATGGAGGACAAGCCAGAGCCAGCCTCCTTCCCTGATTTTCCATATCAAATTAGTCTTCCAGGCTGAATAATTATTCTGTCTTCTAGGCACGGTTTAAAGGCGTTGTTTTTATTGATGGGAGGAGGGTTCTCCTCCTAAAGAATGACTCCTGGTCACAGAGCCCTGGTCTGGCCATCTCCTGAAGGCTGAAGGAAGCTGCCTGGGTACAGAAAGGTTGGGACGTCGTAATGCTGTGAGTGTTTCTGCTCACAGTCCTTGATCCCAAATTCAGTGCTTTAGAATTACAGCTTCTTCCTTTTCCCTTAAAGTTTCTGGGGAAAAAAAAAAAAACCCAAACCAAAAACCAACCCACCAAATGGTCTGAATTTGGCCTGATTTGAGTTTTTCAGTGCTGGAATTTCCTGTGGAATAGAAAACCTGGGACTGGCCAAGGGGTCATAAAAGATGTGTGAAAGTGAAAACCCTGCTCTGCTGAGCTGCCTTGATATTGCTGGAATCTGGTTTTGTGCTCTCACGTGGGTTGTTTCTTTTTAACTGGTGTGTGCACAATGTTCTGTATTTAAAATACATGCCCTGTTCCCTTTGGGACAGAGGGGAAAAATGACATGCTGCCAGCTGCAGCGGAGAGGGGTTTGGAGCATGAAACCCTGCGGGTGCCTACGAGCAGAGGATGGATGGAAGAGCCCTTCCCCTGGCCACAGGATGGAATAAAATAGCTGATTCCTCTTGTGAGGCATCAAATGCTGAGCATTTTTCCTCCTAGGTAGAAAGCAGAAGAGCAGTGAGTGCCTTTGGCTGCCTGTGGGAGCTCCCTCCCATTTTACCGATGGGAAAAGCAAGGTATTTTCTCTGCACCCCTGGTCCCTCGTTGTCCCTCTCCATGCACAGCCTTTTCCATGCCCTGATACTGCCTTGCTGTGATGGTGTGCTCCCGCCCGGGGCCCCAACCTGATCTTTATCACCCGTAACCCTCCCCAAATGATAACCCCTCGTGGTGGTTGCAATGGGTGTATCTAGTGGTGGTGGCATCCGGAGCTCAAAGGTGGTTCCAGGGAGAGAGATAACAGCACAGTAGCCAAGGGCTAACGAGCCAAAGTGCCCACCTAACCGCAGTACTGCTACTGTGGTCAATATGCAAATGTGACTGTAAGTCAATCATCTTACCCTCATAAATAGCAAACAGCCCAAGAGCCTTTGGAGCTCTCCTGAGAGGCAGCAGGCTCAAGGACCTCCCATTGAGTAGGGATGCCTTTCAAGATTACTCCTCGAGGTTAAGAGATTCCTTGCTGCAACAGATCCTCGGTAAGTGGTTTATCGCATGCTAAACTTTGAAATTCTTAGCTAAGTGATATAAGGGAATGATTGAGCATATATAATCCCTTAGACATAAACCATTGATCAAGCCTGGGGCTAGGACTGAATCCAGCCGCACCCGGACTCCTCTCTGAGAAGGAGTTCAGAGAGCCAGGGGGTCCTCTCTGAACCTCAACTCAACTGGGGGTCTCCCTGACGGTTCTGTCTGCCCCTGTCCTCTATGCTGTAAGTAACCAAGTGGGCCTTGTCATGGAATCTTGTTAAAACAGTCACATTTACTATCAAACTTTGTTAAATCATTGATTTGCATCAATAAACATAGTGCTGCTTCTTTCCTACAAGTGAAGAGCATCACTCCATCCGTGACACTCCCAA